CTTCAGGTCCAAAAAAAAAAAAAAAAAAAAAAAAAAAAAATCAGATCATGTGTTCGTTAGAAAATAGGACGGTGGTGGAAGAGTCTGTTTTGCCCCATGCTCTGCCCCTTTGAGACCCGCGGCTGAGGGGCTAAGAGTCCGTTTGTTAGGCGGCTTCTGGTCACCAAGAGTCTCCTTTTCCTTTCTCACTCCGTGGTCATTTGGTCCCTGTGGCCTCACTGTGACCCGCGGCTGGAGCATGCCTCGGGGTCCTCCTGTGTCATCACCACTGCCCTGTAAACCCCTGCTCCTCAGATGTGGCCATCTCAGGAAGTGGGGGCCTGCTCAGGGCAGCGGCCGGGAGGTGTGGCCAGGCCCCCAGCCTCACAGCACACTTGGAGCCTGAGCCAGCCCATCAGCCAGGAGATGGACCTTCTGCTCTCTTTCTAGAGTTTTCAGTGTCATGGGAACAGGTGTGTTTGCCACAGAAAACAGGTCAGCATAAAAAGTCACCCACTTTTCCAGCCTTTTAGCATTATGTCCACATAAACTTTTGAGTGTAATGTGTGTGTGGTTTATACTTTTATTTTTTAAAAATCATGCTGGGGCCGGGCGCGTGTGGGTCAAGCTGTAATCCCAGCACTTTGGGAGGCCGAGGCACGGGCGGATCACGGAGGTCAGGAGATCGAGGACCGTCCTGGCTGACACGGTGAAACCCCGTCTCTACTAAAAAATATGAAAAAACTTAGCGGGCGAGGTGGCGGGCGCCTGTAGTCCAGCTACTTGGGAGGCTGAGGCCGGAGAATGGGGCGTGAACCCGGGAGGCGGGAGCTTGCAGTGAGCTGAGATCCGGCCACTGCACTCCAGCCTGGGGCGACAGAGCGAGACTCCATCTCAAAAAAAAAAAAAAAAAAAAAAAAAAAATCATGCTGGGCTGGCGCGGTGGCTCATGCCTGTAATCCCAGCACTTTGGGAGCCAAGGTGGCGGATCCACGAGGTCAGGGATGGAGACCATCCTGGCTAACAGAGTGAAACCCGTCTCTTCTAAAAAATACCAAAAAAATTAGCGCGGTGTGGTGGGGGCATTGTAGTCCTAGCTACTTGGGAGGGCTGAGGCAGGAGAATGGCGTGGACCTGGGAGGTGGAGCTTGCAATGAGCCAAGATTGTGCCACTGCGACTCCAGCCTGGGCGACAGAGTGAGACTCTGTCTCAAAAAAAAAAAAAAAAAATGTGGGCTGGGGCACAGGTGGCTCAACCTTTGATCCCAGCACTTTAGGGAAGTTGAGACAGAGGGATCACTTGAGGGCCAGGGGTTTCAAGACCAGCCTGGGGCAACATAGCAAAACCCCATCTCTAAAAAATGTTTTGGCGGGGCGCGGTGGCTCAAGCCTGTAATCCCAGCACTTTGGGGAGGCCGAGACGGGCGGATCACGAGGTCAGGAGATCGAGACCATCCTGGCTAACACAATGGAAACCCCGTCTCTACTAAAAAAATACAAAAAAATTAGCCGGGCGTCGTGGCGGCGCCTGTAGTCTACTTGGAGGCTGAGGCAGGAGAATGGCGGAACCGGAGGCGGAGCTTGCAGTGAGCGAGATCGCGCCACTGCACTCCAGCCTGGGCGACAGAGCGAGACTCCGCCTCAAAAAAAAAAAATAAAAAAAAATATAAATAAATAAATAAAAAAATAAAAAAAAATAAAAAATAAAAAATGTTTTAAGAACTTAGCCAGGCGTGGTGGCTCACACCTGTAGTCCCAGCCACTCGGGAGGCTGAGGCAGGAGGATTGACTGAGCTCAGAATATCAGGCTGCAGTGAGCCATGATCGTGCCACTGCATGAACCCCAGCCTGGGTGACAGAGTGAGACCTTGTCTCAAAAAAAAACAAGAAAATGCCATCCACAGTGCTGGGACCTGTGTTCTCACCTCACCTGGGCTGTCTGTCTCTCTTGGCCAGCACGGATGCTTCTACATGCACTGCTGCTGTGTTCAGCGTCTGCACGGTACATTTCACCGCGCTGCTTACTCGGCTGTCCTCTGAGGCTGGACATTGAATTTGTGTCTCAGCGCTGCTGCGACATCCTCAGTTACTTCCGAGTCATGGGCTTGCCACACAGGAGGTTGCCACGTGGGAGGTTGCCACGCGGGAGGGTGGGGTGTGTTGCATGCTTTGGTGGCCCAGTCCCCAGTCTCTCCCCCTCCCCCAGCAGCAAATGAGCCAGCCCCTGTCCCTGTGCCCCAAGCTCCAGGGTTAACCCCTGGGTGTGCATTTGTTTGTTCTGAATCTTATCATTTATCATCCACCAGACTGACTTGGCCATCTCTGGCCTCGAAGGGTCTCCCTCAGCAAGAGGAGTCCTTCCTGAGCTGCCGCTCCATCCTGAGCAAGGCCTTCGCCCTAGAAGCTTAGTAATTTCGGTCTTGTTCTAAACAGGACCTGGGGGCTACACTTGAGTCTTCCAGATATCAAAAGATGGTTCTAAGAGGCTCCAAAAACCCTTTTTTTTTTTTTTTTTTTTTTTTTTGAGACGGAGTCTCGCTCTGTCGCCCAGGCTGGAGTGCAGTGGCCGGATCTCAGCTCACTGCAAGCTCCGCCTCCCGGGTTCACGCCATTCTCCTGCCTCAGCCTCCCGAGTAGCTGAGACTACAGGCGCCCGCCACCTCGCCCGGCTAGCTTTTTGTGTTTTTTAGTAGAGACGGGGTTTCATCGTGTTAGCCAGGATGGTCTCGATCTCCTGACCTCATGATCCGCCCGTCTCGGCCTCCCAAAGTGCTGGGATTACAGGCTTGAGCCACCGCGCCCGGCCCAAAAACCCTATTTTTCAATGGACAGTGCCCTCTTCCTGCAACCTCAGCCCCTTGTGTGATAGGCTCTTTGGTTAAGTGAAGGTTTTGTCAGCCTAGGAGTAGGGTGGATCCCAGCTCATTGGCTGGATCTGGTTGCAGAATTAAAGGGTGGGAGTGGACGTTGGGGAGCGGCGGGTGTCGGGGAATGGGCCTGTGATGTTACCATTTCGCCCAGCGGGGCACTGAGTGTGAGCAGTGTGCTCCCCGGTGCTGCTGGGGAGCCATGACTGTCACTGCCAAGCTATTTAGGGCAGGTGGAAACAGCCCAGAGCTGAGCTCCAAGTAATTGGTCTCCAAGGGATATGGCAGAAAGTCCCCGTGGCAAAACCTGCTCTGCCTGGCTGGGGAAGCTTTGCAGAAACTGTCCTGGAGGGACTGGAATTCTGCTCTGCAAGTTTTAGGTTGGAAAACTCAGAAATCCCCCCACTCAGCTCTGTCTCAGGTGCCCCCAGGAGGGTTCACCGATGGACTGGCCGAGAGGACACTTGCTTCCACAACTGCACGTCCCCCGGCTGCCAGGACCCCTCATCTGCCTGCCCAGGAAGCTTCCACAGGCTGATGGCTCCAGGGGAGGGAGGGGAGGCAGCATTTATGACACCATGGAAGGCACCCACCCTCCTGCTGCAGTCCTTGCCGGGTGAGGGCAGAGGTGGGGGGCAGGGCTGCACCAGCTATGTGGAGGGCAGCGCCCATCTGCCCGTCCGCCAAGTACTAAGCATCCTTGGCCCTGCCCGGGAACCGAGACCCCTGCACCTGAGAGTCCCTGGGCCTGGGCTGGCCGTGCGTGTCGGTGACCCCTGGTGACCCCCAAGTCTCTGTTGCAGGGGATCCTTCTGGTGTATGACATCACCAACCGCTGGTCCTTTGACGGCATCGACCGCTGGATCAAGGAGATCGATGAGGTAGGCCTGGGTCCGGGGAGCCCTCCCGGGGAAGGCAGACTGGATGGAGGTGCCTGGGCCCCAGGTAGGCTCTGGATTCCCGCCTGCCACCCCTCCTGTGGCCCTGGCTCTGCACCCTGCACTGTCCCACGGCCTACACCTGGGCGTGCTGGTCACTGTGCACGCAACGGCCAGGCATGGAGCCCGGCAAGACCAGGCGCTACGGGGCCACCTGGAAGGGCCCACACTGTGGGGCCTGAGCCCTGGGCTCTGCCCACCTCGACCTCCCACGGCCCCCACCCCGTCATAGGCCAGACAGTGAGGGCGGGCCCTGCTGCGGCTGAGGGGTGGGTGGCGCCCTGCGTTTGTGCTTCTGCTGAGTTCTGTGCCCCCAGCACGCACCCGGAGTGCCCCGGATCTTGGTTGGAAACCGGCTGCACCTGGCCTTCAAGCGGCAGGTCCCGACGGAGCAGGCCCGCGCGTATGCAGAGAAGAACTGCATGACCTTCTTTGAGGTCAGCCCCCTGTGCAACTTCAATGTCATCGAGTCCTTCACGGAGCTGTCCCGCATCGTGCTCATGCGGCATGGCATGGAGAAGATCTGGAGGCCCAACCGAGGTGCGTGGGCGGGCGCCCGCCAGCCCTGTGGTCCCCAAACCCGGGCTGCCCTGATCACGTGGAGGCTGAGGGGGGCCGGGGGCCAGTGAGGAAGGTTCAGGCAGGTCTCTTGGCCATGTGCAGTAGGGGCTCAGCCGGCAGCAGGCCAGTGACTTGGTAAGAGTAGCCTCGGGGAGAGGCAGCAGCACCGGGGGGCACAGGAGGAGCTGGTGACCTCCCTCAGGGTGCCGCCGTGGCAGCTGCACTCTGCCATTCCTGTGGGTCCCCGGCATTGCTGGTGTGGCATTGTGTTCTCACTCCTTCCCTGGTTCTGGGGCTGGCATCCTGCTGTCAGGGGGGTACAGGAGCCATGCCTGCAGCTTCGTGTTGTTTCATTTTCTCTTCCTGGGAGGCCACGTCCTTGATCAGAGGTCCCAGTGGAGCCCCCTCAGGAAGGTACTGTTGATTCTGTGGTGCCTCCCGGCAGGGTTCACTACTGGACAGAGAGAGGGTGGCTGACAGTGTCACTGTCCTTCTTAAGAGGAAGCACGGGGCCGGGCGCGGTGGCTCAAGCCTGTAATCCCAGCACTTTGGGAGGCCGTGGCAGGTGGATCACCTGAGGTCAGGAGTTCGAGACCAGCCTGGCCAACACGGTGAAGCCCCGTCTCTACTAAAAATACAAAAATTAACTGGGCGCAGTGGTGGGCGCCTGTAATCCCAGACACTCAGGAGGCTGAGGCAGGAGAATTGCTTGAACCCGGGAGGAGGAGGTTGCAGTGAGCGGAGATCGCGCCACTGCACTCGAGCCTGGGCGACACAGCAAGACTCCGTCTAAAAACAAAACAAAACAAAAAAAACCATAAAGCAAGCACAGGGAGCCGTGAAGAGCCTGGTTGTACCCCAGGCCAGCATAACCTAGCCCCCACCCCGTATGGAGCTCCTCTCCCAGTCAAGCTAGATTGAGTCAAAACCCAACCAGAGATACAGCAGAGGCTCCAGAGCAGGTCGGCTCGAAGGGCCAGATCACGCAGCCGTCACGCTGGGAGCTGCAGCGTCCAGGCCAGGAACTGGGCAGAGCGGCCTCGGGAAGCCCCGCAGCGGCACTGCCCAGCGTGCCTGGCTTTAGGGAGCAAGGCAGGGGATGGCGTGGCAGTGGACACATCTGTGCTGGGCAGAGGAGTTTGGGCATCCAGGTCCTCCAGGATCCCAGTCCAGGGGACACCACTAGGAGTGTGGAGACCCCGCCGGGCTTCTCTTGGGCACCTCAGGTCTCCCTGCGCAGGGCCTCCCCCACAGCCCCATGGTCTCACACCCCCTCTGCCCTGCAGTGTTCAGCCTGCAGGACCTCTGCTGCCGGGCCATCGTCTCCTGCACCCCCGTGCACCTCATCGACAAGCTCCCACTGCCCGTTACCATCAAGAGCCACCTCAAGTCCTTCTCGATGGCCAACGGCATGAACGCGGTCATGATGCACGGCCGCTCCTACTCCCTGGCCAGCGGGGCCGGGGGCGGCGGCAGCAAGGGCAACAGCCTCAAGAGGTCCAAGTCCATCCGCCCGCCCCAGAGCCCCCCCCAGAACTGCTCGCGGAGTAACTGCAAGATCTCCTAGCAGGGACGGGCAGAGCCGCCTGTGCAGATGCTGGGAGGGCTCGAGCTGGACGCTCCTGGCTGGATGCCGGGCCAGTGCCACCTGCGTGGAGACTGGCCACACCAGCTGCCTCAAAAGCACTGGGCTTTCCTCACACCTGAGCCGGGTGCGAGGAGCAGCATGCACGGAGCACGTGCGGCAGGCGGGAGGAGGGGGCGCGGCTGGGCTGCTGGTGCTTCTTGGGGTGAAACAAGCCGGGCCTCCCCAGCTGCCTGGGCTCGACCGGCGGAGAGCCTGGCTCGCCTTTCTTATTTATATAGAGAACACTTCACCTTTTTTGTACATTTTAAGGGGCCTTCAGGGAAGCCTGGGTGTGGCCCCATGGTGTGCTGGTGACTTCGTGGCCACGCCAGCTGTGGGGGCGCACTTGGGACGCCTCGGGAGGGGATTCGCAGCAGCGATGGTCAAAGCGTCCTGTGAATCCGTGCGCTGCGAGTGGCAGGGCTGCCCAGAGGCCGGGGGAGCAGACGGGGCCGGTGCTTCCTCTGGAAGCTCGGGTGACCTCAGTGGTCACTGTGCTGGCAACGGATGGAGGGTGTGGTCCTGTGGTCAGAGCCCAAGCAGCACTCAGGAGAGAGGAGAAACGAGGTGCGCCTGGGAGCCCATACTTTTGTTGTTCCCCAAATCCCTCCCCACATGGGACTGAGAACCTTCCTGCTGTGATGTGACCCCTTCGGGGACATTGACCACTCAAAACTCAGATCATCATCTCTCCCACCCTGGAGAGTGCAGAGCTATCTGTAGTCTTACGAATATTCGATGGGCGGTGGCATCCGGACCCCGGGCACCTGTGTGCAACCTCCTGTTCTCGGCAGCTTCTGTCGCTGGCCCTGGGGTCCCCACAGCTGCAGCTCTCCTGTGAGGTCGCACGGCGTCAGAACCATCCTGACCTTTTTAGGGACGTGCCTGGAACCACCTCATCCACGTCCACGTCCACCTGGGGACCTCGGGAGCCTAGGCCCCTCCTCGAAGGCCCACCAGCCCGGCACTCGTGCTGAGCCCCAGGCACGCAGGGCCGGCCACCTCTCTCCTGCAGCCATTGGCCGCTCCTCCACCCAGTGCTTCTGCCCACGCCTGCCCCAGCAGCCCCTCTGCAGGGTAGCAGTTGCCTGGGCCTACCCACAGCACTGGTGCTCACCTCTACCTCCTGCCCTCGGGCCACACAGCACGGCATGGCCAGCACGCAGAAGGAGCCCTCCCGGGACCCAGGACCCCCGTGGTGGACTCCACGGCGCACGCTTCCCAAGGTGGTCCCATGGAGGGTGCTACTGGGCACCAGTGGACTCGCCCCATGGCCCATTCCCGGGAGATGAGGGCCGTGGCCTGCATGAGCTGCCAGATGAGTAAGGGAACCCCAGCCAGGCGGCCCTGCCACAGTCCCCAAAGACACTGGCCTCCTGCTCCAGCCTCCCTGTCCTGGCCCCACCTGCCCTGTTGCTGCCAGCAGGGCCCTTGTTTGGGATTATGAACAAACCACACAGACTTCGAGGACCTACACGGTCCTACATTCACGGCATCAACACTACCCGCACTGCTGTTAGACACTCCACCATTCCTGGTTCTTTCCGAACCGTTCTTTGTACAGTAAATGGAATTCGGCTGTGGTCCCCACGTTTTGCTGTGTCTGGTGGGGTGGGTCTGGCGGTGGTGGTGCCCCATGCCAGGGGCCAGTGCTGCTTTGTACCAGGCAAACTGACCTCTGGCTTTTGTTTTGCCTGCTGTCCCCTGCGCTGACCGGGCCGACCTGCGGCAGTTAGCTGGGTTCGCCTCAAGAAAAAGTGAGGGCTGCACCTGGGCTGGAGCGGCTGGGCCTGGTCATGGCCATTCTCCACTTCCCAGTGGACGGGATCCCAGCTGGGCTGTACCGAGCCCTCGCTCACGGCCCATGGCAGCAGATGGCCTGGGTGAACTGTCCCCAACAGCAGCAGGACCCCAGAGGGCCAGGCCCTCCAGTCAGCCTCCTCAGCAGAGAGCAGCCTGCACGCTGGACCAATCTGGGTTGCCTGCCATGCCTGGCCCAGGGCTGTGTGGACACCCCGGAGGTGTGTCCAGTTGTTACAGGGACCACAGCCTCAGGCTCAGGTGCCTCCCTCTGCTGTTTCGTGGGCTCATCCAGGCCTTAGGCCCCTCCATGGCAGCTCCAGCCCAGCCGCCTGCAGCTGGGTCAGGCCTAGCTACCCCACCCCCGTCCCCTTGTAGAGCAGGGACTGTGGCGCCTGGAGGCATTTCTGGGTCTCATTCTGACCAGACCACGTTCCTGTTACCCTGCCTCCCGGGTCAGAGGTCAGACACAGGGTCAGGGGGACCCTCCCTGAGGCCCCAGACTTCTGGAGCCACAGAGGGTTTGGAAGGGTAGATTCCAGGCAGCCCTTTGTCCTGCACCAGCCAGGCCAGCCCCCTGCCCTCCCAGACGAGGAGGAGCCAGCGGGGGGATGTATGCCCCGCTGATGGGGGGCTGGGGCAGGGCAAGGCTCTGGTGCCCCAGGACACTTGCTCTCTCCAGCTGCAGACGCCCTTGCACTTGGCCTTCCCTCGCGCGGCGCCATCCACGCAGAGCCACGTCCAGGGCTGCGCAGTGCGTAGGCCGAGGCTCCGGCGTCAGCGTGTGGGGCTGTTCTTATGTTTGTGGGCGGCCACAGGCCTCTTCCTGCTGCACCTGCCCCGCCTTGGGGACGGGCCTGAGCCCCAAGCCCGCAGCCTGGTTTCAGGGATGGGGTCTCTGGGAATGCAGTCCTGCCGGGTTGGGCCCCACCCCACCAGGGGCAGCAGAGCAGAGAAGACTGGGCTGTGCTGGGCGTCCTGCAGGCCCCTGTGCCCCTACAACAGCCGTGGAACGGGAAGGAACCTCAAAGGAGCAGAGTGAAGCCCTCGGCCCGACCCGGACACACGTGACCGTTGCCAGCCTGGACCTGACCTGAGGGACCCAGGCTGTGATCAGCCACACTCCGCGGGGAGGGCCTGTGCCTGCCACCCCATGGCATGGGAGCCTGGGGTCCAGAGGGCGTCAGGGACAAAAGCTGGGATCTGCTGGCCCTGCCCCCACCCTCCTGAGGGTCGTCAAGGAGACTGATCTCAGCCCAGGGGTGGAGGAAGGGGTTCGGGTTACAGGGTCCCCTCCCCTCCCCCTCTCCAGCCAGAGCCAGCCCTCCTCCGCCCCCGGTGACCCTCATGGCCAGTGGCTCTGTGCTCCTGGGCCTCTGGCCCCTCCCCAACCTCCTCCCCTCTGCCCTGTGCTGACCAGGGCCGGGGAGCCCCCGCACGGTTCAGACAGAGGGGCCAGGCTGAAGCTGGAGAGGAACCAGCGTCACACAGACGGCCTCTGAGAACTTGGAGACCCCGTAACCCACCCAGCAGGGGCGTCAGGACAAGCATCTGCTGCAAGCTTTGGCCTCAGGGGTGAAAGGGAGCCCCGGGGTTCTGGTGGGGGCGCCAACCACAGGCCCGGAAGGTGGATGCCTGCAGGAAGCTGGGCTCAGCGGAGCCCGAAGAGGGGCTGGTGGCCACACCCCCCAGCCCCCTGGCTCAGCGGCCCCCATGCCCGCCTCACGGCCACTCCTGCCGCTCCTGCTCCTCCTCTGGTTGACCTCGGGGGCCAGCTTGCTGCCAGGGCCAGAGAGCCACCCGGGCGTGTGCCCCAACCAGCTCAGCCCCAACCTGTGGGTGGACGCCCAGAGCACCTGTGAGCGTGAGTGTAGCGGGGACCAGGTGAGTGTGGTCGGGCTGGGGTCCTGGGGCTTGGGGCAGCCAGCCTGGGCAAGACCCTACTGGAGGCGCCACGTTCTGCCCGGGCTCCCCAGACTTCTGCTGGTGTCTGGGTCTGGGCCCCTTGAGGGGCCCAGAGACACTCCCATCGTTGCCCTCATTTAAGAATAAGAGCCCTCCCACTCCAGCTCTCATGCTTCCCATGTGCCTCTCCCCTACCCTGGACATCATCATCCACTGGCGATCCCCCCCAACCCTGTTACTGCCTCTTCTTCTATCCTCTCCTCCCACTCTCTCCTCCCATCCTCTCCTCCCACCCATTCCTCCCATCCTCTCCTTCCATCTCCTCCTCCCACCCTCTCCCACCCTCTCCTCCCATCCTCTCCTTC